GAGAACTTTTTGACTTGAGAACTGCCTTCCAATACGGATTAAGTTCTCAAGTCAAGACCCCTCTGTATTACAATTGTTGTTTTATTTAGTCACCACCAAATGTTAGGATGCTTGTGGAAACATCGGATGACAATTTAGCTTGTTCATTTGTTCTTTCAAAGCTAAATACATGTTCCTGGGGTGGAGGAAACAGCTGAGCTGAACTTGGGTGTTGGGGTGAGGAATAATTCTATGTGGTTTCCCCCCTACAGATATTTGCATGCCAAAAGAAGCAGGTTCCTCTTCAGACAAAGTTATAAAATGAAAAAAGGATTGGCTTGTTTGTTATTCAGCACCCCTACTTTGCTATACAGTTGTTCCTTTCGCTTGTGGTGGAAATCTCTGGACTCTTCAGTGTTTTAACCTGTTGTTTTTATTGTGACGTTGGAAAGGATTGGAAAGAGTATGGCGGGTGTTAGCTAGCTCAGCACACTGGCAATACAAGAGACAGGCATAGTAGAAAACCTTATTTTTAGTCCAACCTTTCTCTATGATTTCTATTAAAAGGTGTTATTTTAAAATGCTAGCCAAATACAGTATGTTTCAGGGCTGAGGCTATATTATTCGAAACTGTTTAATATAATGTTGCCTTTATAACATAGTCTTTACAAAAGCCAGGTAAATTGTATTTGTATTTAAAAATATCATTTGTTCTCTTGTTTAGGTTAATAAAAAAGCTGAACCAAGAGACAATACTTCAAGTCTCCTGTGGCAATTGGCATTGCCTAGCCCTTGCAGCTGGTATAGTATAATTCATATCTGATAATTAAGCAATTCTTATTTTGAGCTGTAATGTAGCTGCCTTCTTAGAGGGTTGCCTCACTGCACCCATTGCTCAGGCTGGCCCTGTCTAATCCCATGCTTCACATTCTGATTAGTGGAACTCTGTGAGGCACCAAAGAGAGAACAGGGGTTGAAATTTGATTTATTTTAATTGCATTTTAATTGTTTTGTCTTTTTATTGTATTTAAAATGTTGTAAGCTGCCCAGAGACCTTTGGGTAGTGTGGGCAGCAAATCAATCAATCAATCAATCAATCAATCAATCAATCAATCAATCAATCAATCAATCAATCAATCCCTACCTACCTACCTACCTACCTACCTACCTACCTACCTACCTACCTACCTACCTACCTACCTACCTACCTACCTACCTACCTACCTACCTACCTACCTACCTACCTACCTACCTACCTACCTACCTACCTACCTACCTACCTACCTACCTACCTACCTACCTACCTACCTACCTTGTTTATAGGCCATCTTTCTCCTGATAAGGGAACGGCTATATTTAGGTCACATTTGAAATATTTAAATATTGATGGCTGAACCTGGGACATTTTGCATGCAAGACAAGTTTTCCTCTACTAAGATGCAAGACAGTCCATGTACAGTATAATAATGCTTAGCATTTCTACACCTTTTTTGAAATACTCTAAGTTCATGTGTGGATTATTTTCTTAACCTTGGTTACGTAGGTCAGTATTATTATATCGTATCCCAGTATTGTCCCATCTGATGGTGGAACACTGAGGTTAAGAGTATGTGATGGTCTGAGTTCCCCCTGGGGACTTTGCAGCTTAGATTCCAACACAATGTATGGTACCTAAATTACCTCACGGCACATATTTGACTCCTGTGGAATGATTGTGCTGTGACATAAGAAAGGGCTTGTTTTTCTGACTACTCTTAGCCATATCTCTTTTTCCCCCTCAGATGGGCAGTTCTTTGCCTGGGGACAGAACAGCCATGGACAGCTTGGACTGGGTAAAGAATTCCCCTCCCAAGCTTGCCCTCAGCGCATCAAGTCTCTTGACGGGATCCCCTTGGCTCAGGTTGCTGCTGGAGGAGCACACAGCTTCGCCTTGTCTCTCTCAGGAGCCATCTTTGGCTGGGGGAAGAACACTTCCGGACAGCTGGGACTAAGTGATGAGCGAGGTACTTTGACTGATCTTCAGGGGAGATGAAATTCTTGCTGGCAATGGAAGAGGAAGAATTACTGTTGTGTAACATTCTCTTTACAGGTGGAGCATCTCTCTCCTTGTGCAATGCGTTACGAGACAAGGAATATATATGGTTTTCCTTCTCCATATTATATCCTCAAAACAAGCTTGTCAGGAAGGGTAGGCCAAGAAATCATCACTCGCCCAAACTCACTCTGTAGGTTTCAGGGCCAAGTAGGGACTTGAACCCAGGCCTCCTGAGTCTTAGTCCAGCATTTAACCATTACACTATATTGGCTACAAGGCATGAGGAGGCCTGGTCGTGTACTGCACTTGCTGAGGGCAGCAGTAAAACACACAGATGCTTGATTTTGTGAGATGGGAGGCAATGTTTCTGATAGGACTTTATATCTGGTCTTGTCCCAGATGTGACCTGGTGAGGTACACTGGTTTTTAGGGGTGGAGTAAATTTTTATGGCCCCATAAGGACATGAATGATGGTGTGTTGTCACGTTAGTTATGACTTACCACAACCCTTTCCAGGGTTGTCTATGTAGAGCAGTGGTCCCCAACTTTTTTCACACTAGGGACCGATTTAGTTAAAGACCATTTTCCCAAGGACTGGGAGTGGTGGTGGGCATCCGTGCGTGTGCGCATGTGGGGGGACATGCATGGGAGGCGGGCAGGCATCTGTCCATGTGTCTGGGGGACAGGTGTGCGCGCGCGCATGTATGCATGCGCTCCTTCGACCTTCGAAGATCTTTCTCCGCAGCCCGGTCCTTCCGAAGCCATGGTCCAGTATCAGTCCATGGACCGGGGTTTGGGGACCCCTGATGTAGAGAGTACTTGGAAATGTTTTATTGTTCCATTCTTCTGCCAGATGCTGGGTCTGTGCAGTTTGCCCAAAGCGACACAGGCTGGTTTTACTTGCAAGAAGACATAGTGAGGAATTGGAACTTCCAATCTCTGGCTGTACAACCGGATAACTAACCGACTGAGCTATTCAGCTAGGCCATAAGGACATTAGTCTGCAAGTTTTTCCTCCCTTTTGCTCCCAGCCTTGATGGGAGGGGAGATGCAAATGCATTATTTATTTTTATGAAGATTTATGCCATGTATTTTCAAGGTCTCTTGATAGAGTTAATTTGACCTTGGTTTCCACTGTTAAATGGCTCCACTCTTAGGTTCCTTTCCCACCCTGTAGCCATTGTTTTCATTGCTTAGTTTTTGAAAGTGTTTTTGTAGCTGAGTCACTGATAGTTTATTTTGTTCATTCAGTTTTGTGGTAGGGAACGTTAGCAATTTAATCATCATTAACAGTGGCATAGACAGAGAGTGCAAGCTTAGTTGAAATGACAAACTCAGAACTGTCCTCCCAGTTCTTACATGTTTCACAGTGTGATAGAATAGATGATGCATTTATTTTCTATCCTCCTATCTAGATAGAGAGTCTCCATGCCATGTGAAGCTCTTAAGGACTCAAAAGGTTGTCTATATCAGCTGTGGAAGTGACCACACAGCCGTCCTGACAAAGGTAAAGAAAATCCCCCTTAAACTTTGATGGGAATGCAATTAGGGGAAACTCTCTTGTAGGTTTTGTGGACTCCTGCTCCACATCATTAATAAATGCATGCTGTCAAGTCGGTTCTGACTTACGGTGATCCCTTGCAGGGTTTTCTAGCTACAGAATACTCAGAAGTGGTTTACCATTCCCTTCTTCTGGGGATGCCCTGGGACTGTTCAGTTTGCCCAAGGCCACACAGACTGGCTCTACGTGCAGGAGATACAGTGGGGGAAATCAAATTCCTAACCTTTGCCTCCACAGGTAGATAACTAAACCATTGAGCTAACTAGTCAGTTCACACTCCATGTAAAGGTAAAGGTTTCCCTTGACATTTTCAGTCCAGTCGTGTCCGACTCCCGTTTTTCAAGCTGTAGAGCCAGTGCTTGTCCGAAGACAGTTTCCGTTGTCACATGGCCAGCATAACTAGGGGACACCGTTTTACTTTCCTACCGAGGTGGTACCTATTTATCTACTCACATTTGCATGCCTTCAAACTGCTAGGTTGGCGAGGAGCTGGGACAAAGCGACGGGAGCTCACTCCGTCACGGGGATTCGATCTTACGACTGCTGGTCTTCTGACCCTGCAGCACAGGCTTCTGCAGTTTAGCCCACAGTGCCACCACACTCCATGTACCCCCCCATTTATACTGCCTTTCATGGTGTGTTTTCTTTAAAATAATACCATTACATAAGGAACAAGGTTCATTTCCCTCACCACTGAGCAATTATGGGCTATCCCTTGGTTATAAACCATCTGGCTGCAGTCACTCATTATTTTTAATTTGGCAGTTACCTCCAAAATGTCATCTTTTTAATACCTTCTGCTTGACTTCGTTCTTTTGACCTCTTTGAAGGTCTTGGGTTGGGAGTCAGTGTGATGTTGTCTTACCTAAACTTAAAAACAAAGAATACCTCCTTGCCAGTAAAATAAATGAATGAATTAATTAATTGATGGGCACTGGTAGGCTTTGTCTTTGTTTCCTGTGTACAGTACTAGGGTTTTTTTAAAAACAAAAACGTGCAGCAAGAAGAACCATCTCACTTGAGATTACAAATACTTGTAGATGAAAATTCTGGCTTCCTCGCTGGGTGCTTTTAATAGCAAACGTAAGACCTGGCTCTTTAGGTAGGCTTTCCCTCCTGTCATCACTTGAATATTCTTCCCATCTTGAACTATGTTACTACTGTTGTTTTTTATTTTATTTTATTGTTTTTATTTTACCTATTATTGTTAGCCACCCAGAGTAGACTTTGGTCTAGATGGACAGGGTATAAATTAAATGAATGAATGAATGAATGAATGAATGAATGAATGAATGAATGAATGAATGAATGAATGAATGAATGAATGAATGAATGAATGAATATTGAATTGAATTGAATTGAATTGAATTGAATTGAATGAATGAATGAATGAATGAATGAATGAATGAATGAATGAATGAATGAATGAATGAATGAATGAATTTAGCAATTAGATAAAATTACCCAATATATTATTTAATGTCCCCAGGGAACTCTAGGAAGACTGCCATTTTCTAAAAAGCGTAAGGGCATGTACCTTCCTTACCTTTAGCACAGATATGATAAAACAAATACTAAAACTTCTTCTTGAAGTAATTTTAAAGGGACATCTTAGGAAACAAAAGTTCAAAGGAATACCAGTCTAAATTAGCTTTTATGCCTCTTTGCGTGTGTCCTCTGTATACAGTATTTACTCTGTATTCTGTGTTGCTTTGGACTTTCCTCACATGCCTGTTGTGGTGACCACATGTTTTGTAAACTTCTCAAATAGCCAGCCATCCAGATAAACACTTTCCTTGATAGAAACCTTGAATTATGCCTTTTTGGCATTTCTACAAGAAAAGGTCTCCACAGGGTCACTGAAACATTGGTTGCACCTTTGGTGCAGCTGAAGAAGCAGGCATCCTGCCCTTCCTGTTGCTCCAGCTTTTGTGAGGGGCCTGCTCTTTTCCTAAGTGGAAATGTCTGCTTTCCTTGCCAGAGCGGAGGGGTGTTCACCTTCGGAGCAGGTTCCTGTGGTCAGCTTGGACATGATTCCTTGAATGATGAAGTCAACCCCAGAAGAGTTTTGGAGCTGATGGGCAGTGAGGTGTCCCAAATTGCTTGTGGTAGGTAAGTGACATTATGAGATCAGTGTGGAGTGCCACAGCTGTTTGGGTGATAGCAAAGCAAAAACTGGGGTATTTGAAACCATCAACTTGACCAGAGTCAATCATACCGTTGCACACTCTTTCATATATTTGTGTCTTTCCTGCATACAAATATGTTCTTAATTTGGGTGCTTATTCCAGTTTTGTGCCAAAGAGCTTCATCACGAGTACGTATTTTTCCATGTATAAGACACCCCATGTATAAAATGCCCCCCCTTCCTAAATCAAAATTTATTTCTTTGCAAGAAAGCGGAGGGGGGAAAAACTCTTGCTTTCCTCCTACATTTTCGTTGCAAAAAGCAGCTTCCTCCCTCCAGGTTTTGCAAAGAAAATGCAAGGGGAAAGCGATTTCTGCTTTCCCCCTACATTTTCGTTGCAAACATTTTGCAATGAGAATGTAGGGGGAAAGTAGGAATCGCTTTCCCCCTCCATTTTCTATGCAAAATGTGCAGGGGAAATAGGGATCAAAGTGCTTTGATCCCTGTTTCCCCCTCCACATTTTGTACCTCCTTACTTCCGAGTATAAAACGACCATCAATTTTTCCTTCAATTATTTTAGGAAAAAGTGTCATTTTATACACAGAAAAATACGGTAGTTGTGACATTCAGCAAACCAGATCGTTATAATCTGATGAATTGGTCACAATTTCCAAGTATGTCTTTGAAGTCCCAAGTGTCTGTTTTCCCTGTCTTTGTCCAAGTATGTTAACAAAACAAAACAAAACAAGAGACATCAGAAGGTTATATATAAAGTCAAGGGATATGGAAAATAGTTAGGCCCTATTCTGTTCCATTTTGTATTTCCTGTATTACAGTCTTTTTTAAAAAGCAGCTTTAAGGAGAAGGAAACAACTAAACTTCTAACCAATCTCATTAACATCCATGCTTTGCTATTTTCAGACAGCACACATTAGCCTTTGTGCCTTCTTCAGGAATTATCTATGCATTTGGCTGTGGAACCAGAGGCCAGCTGGGAACTGGGCTTACCTGCAATCTTAAATGTCCTTCCCCCGTCAAAGGTCCCTGGGCAGTTCATAAGGAAGATCTCTCTGGCAAAGCAGGTAAGTCTGTGAAGTGCTGACATTTTGGGATCGTGCATGGCACTGCTTGCAAAAGTAACTTTTTTGGACTACAAAACCTTGAATCCCTCAGCAATAACTTTGACCAGTTTCCCCACAATCTGTTGCCCAGGAAGAAAGTGACATTTGTGACTGATTATGCGGCGTTTAAGCCTGGATATTCTGCTCCAGCCTGGTGCTAATTCACACATTTATTTTTGAAGTAGTAAATTTCAAATAAAGCTGATATATCTCAGAGGGTTGGAGTGCCTGGACCTCCACTGTGCTTCTAGCAAAGATCATCCATGGCACTGCCATCTCTGTGTCTGTGGGCATGTTGTATCAGCGGCGCAGAGAATGGGCGAACCACTTCTGAGAACTTTGTTTAAAACCCCCTGGGAAAATCACCACAAACTGGAATTGATTAATTAATTTAAATTTCTTAATGCATTTGCCTCACTTCTATGTTAGGGATGTTAAAATTTTAAAGAATTTTAACAGTTACCACACATAGCATCCCTCTTCTCTTTCCCTATTTCCTCTATGCAGTTTGGGCGTCTCCACTTCTATACGTAAAGCTGAAATACCATTAATAGTATCCTTCCTTTGATTCTTCATATTAGAAGTTAAGAGTGCTGTGCCCATTATTTCTATACCTTATGTGGTGTCACTAGCTTATATGGGCTTTCAGTGACTAAACTGGATTTTATTACCTCATTTTTCATTTCCATCCATGATAACTGTTAAAAAAAAGATTTGCTTATCATGATATGAAATATGGGAACAGTATATGTGTCACCATGCGTGAAGTACTGAAATAATTGACTTCAGAAGCATTGAAGTAAGATGTGTTTAGGCAACTGCCGAGTTGTTGCTTTTCTCTCTCTGCTGACAGAACATACATTAAGAATTCAAAATAAATCCTTCAGAGTTGCTGTGGCTTTTGACTCTCAGATCTTATTGCAGTCATATATTCCCCTTTTCTTCTTCACATGTCTGTGGCACAATCTGTACATACAGGCAACATGCCCAGTAGTTGGTGTTTGCACTAACTTTTGTTGCCAACCTTTTTGTGCAGATTTATGCACCCTTTAGGGACATGGCGGCGCTGTGGGTTAAACCGCAGAAGTCTCTGTGCTGCAAGGTCAGAAGACCTGCAGTCATAAGATCGAATCCACGCAATGGAGTGAGCTCCTGTCACTTGGCCCAGCTCTTGCCAACCTAGCAGTTTGAAAGCATGTAAAACTGCAAGTAGATAAATAGGTACCACCACGGTGGGAAGGTAACGGCGTTCCGTGTCTAGTCACGCTGGCTATGTGACCACGGAAACTGTCTTCAGACAAACGTTGGCTCTGTGGCTTGGAAACAGGGATGAGTACCGCGCCATAGAGTCAGACATGACTGCATTAAATGTCAAGGGGAACCTTTACCTTTACCTATGCCCCCTTTGCATTTTTTAGCTTGTGTAAGATGTATGTTTTTGTCTGGATGACAAGGGCCGCTGCTTTCAGAAGGATTCAGGTTCCATCACTGGCTTTTCCAGAGAGCCTGGAGAGAGACAAGACAGAGCAGCCTTGAAGCTTTGCTGTTCTGCTGTCTCTCAGTACAGGCACTGCTGAATTAATTAAATGGAGTGATGAGTTGACTTGGTAGGACACACCTTCCTGTGTTCGTACTTTGCACAGCTTCACACTGCTTCACAAGTGTGCTAAATATAAAGGAGACTTCTGTCAGACTTGTCTCTCAGCTGAAGATGTGGAGAAACCCCATTATTTTTATGGTTTGGGAGACAGTAGGCAGCAGAGAGAAAGAAGCGGCGGAAACTTATGTAAAAATAAATGAATACCTTGGACTCAGTTCTTTGTGCTGAAGCAGACAGGTATGAACCTGAAACTCTTGTTAAAACTGGGCATGTATAATCCTTGTTATCAGAGGATAAGGAAGCAGAATGTGAATGTCACTGATGGCCTAGCTATCATTAATCAGTATTTTTCTTTTCCATCAGATACCTGTAAATATTACATTGTTAAACATATGTTCTCTGGAGGAGACCAGACCTTTGTACTTTACTCTGAAGCAGAGGTAATGTAAAATGATGGTATTAATGAGGTGGGCTGTGGGCTTGAGACGAATTAATATCTCTGGATATGTTAATTAGGGTGTTCTTTGTTTTTTCCCTCTGTGTTGGTGAAATCCACAACTTGTCTTTAAACCCATGCATTTACTCTGGTACAATGTGAATCTGATCATTAGGATAAAATCTGGTCCTGTGTTCCCATAAACATAACATCACCTGGTTTGGGCATTCACTGCTGTTTATGTCGTAGTGGGCCTAAGAGAAGGGGAAGGATAGGAAAAAAGAGGTGCATAAAGTGAGGTGGGAAGGTAATGTCCAGACAGCGTCTAGAGAAGGTGATTCATAGAAATTATATACAGTATAATCTTTGTGGGCAGCTAGTATCCAGATGTTTTTCTGCCTCAACTTTTGTGAGCCGTAGCCAGATAGCCTGCAGTTGAGAGATGATAGGTGGTGTTGTTCAAAAACATTCGGAGGTACAGTTTCCCACACTTACTGTAGGCCGTCCAGTAGCATGAATGTTAAAAATAGCCTCAGGAGAGTATGAGGTGAGAGCAAGACATTTTGTGGGCAATGGTGAGGGGAAACAAGGCACCATCTTCCTGTTTTATGTGCAGAAACTGGGTGGAGAGTTGAAGAGGGGGCCAGCCTGCCACTCCCACAGTTTAAGAAAAATGGCAGCAAAACTTCCAGCAGTCTTTCTCAGCCAACTTAGTAAAATTGTTTTTGTTTCCACGTCCTACAGAATCCCTTCCCAGCAGATGATTTCCGGACCCTAAGTCAAAGCGATTACACCTGTTCAATTAATGATGACACGATAGACATGTGGAGGCAAAAGCTGTTGGAAAAGAGTAATCCTAATTCAGTGAAGTATGCTCATTTTTGTTGTGGTTTAATGTGCTGTTTAGCCTTGGGATTCGGTTATGACATTCTTAGAGGCCCAAAGTGGGGAGAATTTCTGTAGAATTTTGTTTCCCCTTTGCTGCTTGGGGTGTTTGTGGGTGTGGGTGTGGGTGTGGGTGTGTGGGTGTGGGTGGGTGGGTGGTACTAGCTCCTCCAAGCTTCTGCTTCCAAAACGGCCTCTCATTTTGGAACTGGAGTCCAAAATACATGGAAAATTCATCTACTTCACATGGAGTTTTCATTCTGCTCTCTAGAGGTCATAAGGAACCCTTGGCACTGGTGCTGACATCATCTTTGCAGTGGGTGACAGGAGAATCCAGTGGATCTGGTACTTCTGAAACATGGAACGATCGTCCCATGTAAAACCTTTCTCAGCCAGTCTCCACATCACCAGCAGAACCAGAGCTGAGAAATGTTAAAATGCTCAGAATACCTCCAGTTAGAGCGATCAGTGACGGTTGCAATCTTAAAAGTAACATTTCCAGATTTCTCAATGTACATGTAAGAGAGGTTAGGTCCACGTGGTGCTGGCTCAAGGGGGCAAAGTGCTCATTTGAGAAAAGGAAAGCAAATACCAGCCCCAATCATGGATGCCTCCCCACCCCCGGCATCCATCACACTGGTGCAAAACTTCTGTCTTTTTCTGCCAGTTGCACAAGCAGGTTTTCACAGCTCCCTTGTGCATCATTTGTGACTTGCGTGACTGCAAGCTGGAGATCGCTGGAGCAGCCATAAAGGACTCAGCCCATGGAGCAGTCATGCTGCACAACGGCAGTTCATCACGCTGTGTATTTGAACACGGGATTTTAATTTGGCAAGGAGATTTTAAAGAAAAGATTTTTTTAAAAAAAAACCTGAAATATTGGAAAGAAGGCACTGAGCTTATGGTGACAAATCTCCTTTTATTTAGCAGAACCCTCATTTGAACCATCCCTTGGAAAAGTTACTCTTTTTGGAGTGCAGCTTACTGTGTTGCATCAGAGCTTGGAAAAGGGGATATTGGGGGTGGTGCGGTCCAAAAACCAATTTTCCTACATTCTGAGCGTAACATCAGATAGGTCAATATGCCACTGGCTCAGCACCTTAACAGGAAGGATGACTGAACACACTGGAAAAGCAAAAGAAAGTTGCTGCATAAAAATATATACTATAGATTAATAATCATTATTTCTGTCCTGTCTCTAAGCAGTGAGGTTGTTCAGATCCTTTCCTCAGCTGCCTGCTGGAATGGAAGCTTTCTTGAAAAAAAGTAAGTGGCTTTTAACCTGCGCGGTAGAAGCTCTCAGATCGCCTTCACTCACATTAGTTATATTAGCACACTATAGAATTTCAAACCGTGACACTATAGTGATGAATTTTGATCAAGCAGATATTAAGTTACAGAACTCAGGCCACTGTTAGATTTTGATCATGAAGGAGGACCAGTTGGATCTGTGATTTTCTTTATAAAGGAAAGTAGAGGCATGGGGAAAGGTTGGCCAGAGTCCACCTGGAATGAAAACTCCACACATCCTATTTCAAACAGGAGTGAAAATAATAGAAGAGGACAGTGGCTGGCAAAAGGGCTTAAATAAAGCCTTTGATGGTAGATGCTGGCATTAGGAACAGCCACCTTCCTGGCTGAACTGGCATCCTATTACAGCTGGTTTTATAAGCAGACCTAGCATGACATCAGCCTTCCAGCAGCTACGAAGTATTGAGAAGCTCCATTGTCTTAGTTGTTCTGGCAATAAAATCTTTGCCATCCGATGCTGTGTGTAGCTTGGTGCCTGTGATTTTAAGCAGTCAAGTGGAAAGTAGAGTATGTGAGTGAAATGGAACCTCTTGCCCCAAGTGAGAGCCTGCTGTTATTAGCCTAGTACAGTGGTGCCTCGCTTAACGAGGATAATCCATTCCAGCAAAATCACTGTAGAGCAAAATCCTCGTTAAGCGAAATAAAAAATCCCATTGAAATGCATTGAAAACGCGTTCAATGCGTTCCAATGGGCTGAAAAACTCCCCGTCCAGTGAAGATCCTCCATAGGGGTGGCCATTTTCGGTGCCTGTATAGCGAGGAATCCATCCAAAAACACAGCGGGGAGCCATTTTACACAGCGGGTGGCCATTTTGAAGCTGCCGATCAGCTGTTTTTAAAATGCAATGCGAAGAATTGGTTCCCGAAGCAGGGAACCAATCATCGCAAAGCGGATTTTGTCTATTAAAACATCGTTTTGCGATCGCAGAACAGTCATTGTATAGCGGTTTCGTCATTTAACGAGGCAATTGTTAAGCGAGGCACTACTGTAGTAAGCTAGGTAGAGTGTTTGTGTGTATGTCAGACAGACAGACAGAGAGAGCACCAGACCAATGAGGTTGGTATTTAGGACCAACATACTCATGAGAGTTCTCTTTTACCTGTGAGATCTTGCAGACATCACTTAACGGGGGGAGAGATACATGATGCCATCTCTCCAGGATATGGGAAGACCCAGTGATATGGCTTGATTAGTAATACTGCAGTTGTGCTCCAGCACATTAGGTTTCTGGATATTGCCTTGCATTAGTGAGAGATCATAACAAGGGCTCTGCTAAATGAGACCAGAGATTTGTCTCTTACTCTTTGGCACGCTCTTGCGATTGATATTCAGAGAGCTGTTGCGGCTGAATCTGGAACTAGTGAATGGCTTGGAAGCAGTGCTGGGCAGTCTGTGTCCTGTAGGCTCCAAGTGGTCCCCAGGGCCCAAATGTCACTCCATCTCACACTTACCAAATTTAAAACATGCAGGTTTCAAAATGTTGTGTTGCATGTTTATACATTCTTGATTTTATCGGAATGCACTCTGGTGTAGCACACCACGTAAATACATATTATTATATTAGTATATATCTTGAAAAAAATATATACATTCTTTGAAAGACGATTAGCTGGAAATGCCAGTTGTGCACTTGGAGGGCTTTGCCATGTTTGGAGGCTCCATGGCCTCCCTGGGGCCTCCCATACTCCCTTGATGTTTTTTTGAATTGGCTTCAAGTTTTTTTAGATACCTTCAAAGTTTTGTAGGAAGTTTGGGGTCAGGGTAATATGAGGACTGGGTGTCTGCAGCTGCAGGACCTCTGGAGATGATGTATTCATGCTCTGAAGTGAGCTGTGTCTTGGTGTAGCCCCTGCAGGTAATGTGGGCTGGTTAGGGGCAATGGAAAGAGTGCTAGTCTCTGGTGCTTTGCTTATCTGGATACTGAGGATCGTATGTGTGTAGAGGTGTCGTTGAATAGTTGCTCCCAGCAACTCTGATCAGCTGATAGGACTCGGTGCGGGGAGAGGAGAGGACAAATCTGGAAGGCTGAAAATTGCCTCCCTCTGATTTAGGGCATTTTCCCAGAAATAATTGCCATGCGGAGATAAAATGAATGTCTGACTTCATCAGACATGTAATTGTGGGAAAATAGTTGCCCTTGCATTACATTTTGCACATGGTTGAATTCCAGAAGTAATTGCCATGCGGAGATAAAATGTATGTTGTGTGAAGTCTGTTCCTGACTTCATCAGACATGTGATTGTGGGGAAATAGTTTTCCTTGCATTACATTTTGCACATGGTTGAATGCATTCTTTTCCGCTCTGTCCCTTGCACTTCCGTTCATCACCTGTTGCCTGAGACAGCCTGCTCCCTCTGTGTAAAGGTAGAACAGGGGCTTTTCCGGGCCTTTCGGTGCTGCTGCTTCTACCAAGTAATATTCAGCGAGAAACTGCTTCTAAACCAGGAGGATCGTTTTGTTTGGGATTACCGGTCACAACTTGGAAAAATTGCGTTTCTGGATTAAAATATCCCAACCGGTTGGGAGATTCTGGGGAGTCGCCATCCAGCTTTTCCACGCTCTGCCACAAATACCCACTGATAGACCTAGCGAGCCAGTCTGAAACTCAAGGGAGGAAAGAGTCCAGAGTTCCTCAGGGTGCTGAGAGTTTAAGGTTGTTTGGTTGACCTCTGGCTTCTGGTCAGGGATTCCTGCTCCATCTGGTAGAGTTTGGCTTCTACACATCCATTTCATCCTGCCCTGCAATTTATCCAGTCAATTCTCATCATTCATATGGCTTCTGACTGAGGCTGCTTATAGGTTAAGGTGCTCAGGAAATCGTCTAGATTGCTATTTGATAGTAAGCCGTTGTGCCAGGAGCTGGGAGATCAAAGTTCAAAGAGCCTGTGCTATAATAAAGTATCAAATGCAAGAAGAATTGCTGTTTTCATATCACTGGTGAGCTTTTCTTAATCATTGAGGTACTAAGTTCAAACCTTCACATAGTCTTGCTGGGTAACCTTGCTCAGTAGTCCCTACCTTGCAAGATTATGGGGAAGGTCAAAACAGGAGGAGGAGGGTGTAGTCTGCCTTGATGACCTGTTTGGAGGAAAGGGGATAGAAATGTAACAAAGTAAAAAACTTTAAATGCATTGCACTGCTGGCATCTCTCATAATAGTAATAATAATACTCTATGTATGTTTGTTTGTTTAGAATAGATGAACATTTTAAAACTAGTCCCAAAATCCCAGGGATTGACTTGAATTCCACTAGAGTGATGTTTGATAAGCTAATGACATCTCAACATTCCATCTTGCTTGACCAGGTATGAATTGCAGGATCTTAATGCTGAATTAAAGTATTGCTTTCTGCTGCACTGTGATGAGCTGGGGAGGATGAAATTTGTAACCACACACCTATGGAGGGCATCCTGTTTCAGAAAGCTGTAGTAAAACCTGGAAGCTGTAGTCTGTTCGTTACTGTGAATGCAGCTGTCGTGGCGGTCAGTGTTGGCAAAAGATGGTACAGCCTCTCTCTCTGTTTACGTATAAAGGCAAAACAGTGTTTCATCTCCAACATTTGTCTCAAGTCTGGCTGCTGTGTTTCTTGATGGGGGCCAGTGTTTAAAGTTGGAAGGTTTAGAAGCCGCATTGCTCTTGGTTTGGAGTGAAAGGATGTATCCACTTGTGGCTCTTACAAAGCCGCTTCTTGTCCCCGGTCGGATCAAGTGCTGAGAATGGAACCAGCAGGAAGTCTGTGACATGATGGCAAACATGTACAGTCTGAGTGAGCTTCAGAATAAGCTCTCCTGGGCTTGGTGGCCTTTTTCTGAGCAAGCTCAAAAAGACCATGTGTCTTCCTAGAGCTTTTCTGGGGTTTCCTGTTCTATGAAATCTCCAATGCAGTTGTTTGGAAGCAAGGATAAGAGAGGCATGTAGACCTTCCTCCTACCCATGCTCTAATAGTTATCATGGCTCAGAACATGTGACTGAGTATGTGTGTGAACTTTACTCTCTACTTCCATCAAAGCAACGCATAGAGATGGCTTTCAGTCTGCTCACTATGTTGATGGACACACTGGTCTGTGTCAGTGGAACCCAAGAGGAAGCTGAAGTCGATGATGTTATTAATAAAACATGTTGATGCCTCAGTACTCGTTACAACAATGAAGTACAGAGCCCCTGTAGAGCCTGTGCTATAATAAAGTATCAAATGCAAGAAGAATTGCTGTTTTCATATCACTGGTGAGCTTTTCTTAATCATTGAGGTACAGTGGGGTCTTGACTTGAGAACTTAATCCGTATTGGAAGGCGGTTCTCAAGTCAAAAAGTCTGTAGGTCAAGTCTCCATTGACCTACATATGTCCATCTTGAGCTAAACCCAGTTGAGTGGGTCTAGTCTAGCTGGCCTTCAATTGAGCTAAACCCAACCGGCCTTCCAGTTAAAGTAGACCCACTGAAAATGTGGAACTTGTTAAGTGCTTGAATACTTTGTGAACATCTGTCTGATTCCACAGTTCTGGAATCTCTTCTCTTTGGTTCCTCTGACTTAGTCACTGGGTTAAATCCAATGTTACTCCCAAATAAAGTAGACCGCTTGAAATGTATTGGGCTCAGTTGCAAGTAGTATTTGCCCCACTGATTTTAGAGAGTCCACAGTATTTGGGACTAACTGTGGATTAAGCTTGAAACTTTGAGGATCCTGCTCCTTTGTGGCTGCAAGCTACACGCAGGGTTTCCATGATGCATGGAAGTGGAATCAAAGCATTTTGGCCAGAAGAGAGAGAGAGGAGAGATGCTAGTAGGGCTAGCCAGAATTTGGGGGCTTCAGAATTTCCTCAGCAGTTAGCAGGATGCCATGTTTTTCTTGACGGGTTAGACTGAATGGCTCCCACAGAGGAGAGATGCTGGTAGAGCTAGCCAGAATTTGGGGGCTTCACAATTTCCTCAGCAGTTAGCAGAATACCATGTTTCTCTTGACGGGTTAGACTGAATGGCTCCCACCACTGTGTATTCACGTGTGATTCTCAGGAGCAGCAGCTGCAGTGACATAGAGGCAGATGGCAGAGCTTCCACTGAACAAGTAGGGTTCTCAAGCCATCAGGGAGGAGCAGCCATACGCGTGAGGTGTAATAAAAACCTCTGGGTGATTGAGTGTTCCCCCCCCCCGGAGGGAATTATTGCACAACATCAGACGTCATGGATGTGGATGGCATCTGTCACATGACTGTTTCAGCTTCCTTGGGACTTGTGAAATTATTCCAACCCCAGCTGGGCTGAAATAGTCCTGTGAGCAGTTCATCTGCGTGGGTTGAAGAATTGAGTTGAAGTGGGCTAGAAGAGCACAGAGCGATGGTCTGTGTCTCGTTCGTTTTGAACAAAAACAAAGCAAAACCCAAAGAATTGTGGAGCTGTTAAGAATAGTATATTTATTTCAGTGTGAGCTTTTGTGGGTTACAAGCTACTTCTTGAGACAGATGTATAGTAGGACCCCCATATCCACACAGGATTGGTTCCAGGCACCCCCATGGATGCCGAAAAATGCAGATCATATTGAATGCTATGCATAGCATGGTCTTTCGCTCTGTTTAGTGGCCAGTTCTGGTCATTTCATCTTTAGAAATATATATTTCTAGGATTTTTCTTTTAATATTTTCAGATTGTGGATAAGTGAGTCAGTAGATCCTGATTCTGTAGATTCGGGTTTCCTACTGTATTACAATATGTAGGCTGCACTAAGTACAGTGGACATGGGATGGGGTTTGGGACAAAAAGGGAATAGGAAACCGAAAAAATAACAGCTGCATATTAACACCTGGTAATGAGAGTCCAAGGTGACAGTTGCTTTATTAATGTAGGTAATGAACATTCTTGTTGTTGATAACATTTACATACTGGCAACAGGTTGGTACAAATGGCAAGATTGGCCAGGATGCTTTATTCTTCTTCTTAATGGTTCTTTCTCCTTTCCCCAGATCTTGAAGAGTTTTGAAAGCTTTCTGATCCCCCAGCTGCCCAGCTCCCCACCAGATGTCGAAGCCATGAGAATCTATCTGATTCTCCCAGAATTTCCACCATTTCAAGATTCAAAATACTACGTCACCTTAACGCTTCCGTTGGCAATGGCCATCCTGCGCTTAGAAAGGAATCCCAGCAAAGTCTTAGGTTTCTGATCTCTTTTCTGGATGTTTTGTTATCCTGCGTTGTTTAGGGAAAGAAATGATTCAGAACATGTATTTATGTGTCAGTGGCTTATATGTATATGTTATCGTAGGTGGTGTAGAAGGATGATGGGAGCTGAAATCCAACAACATTTGGAGAGCGACACATGTCCTATTCCTATGTTAACGTAACCCCTTAGGAACCACTGGAACTTTGCAAATCCAGACTTCTCTAATCCATGATGTCTTTTGTAGTGTTGCCCTGTTTCCTTGTCTGAAACATTTGCAGGCCCAATTCATCTGCATACTTTGCTGGGCTGAGTTGCTACATGAAGCTTAAATTTGGGTTTGCAGATCTATGCAGAAACTGGATGCTTGGAAGTAGCCCCATATTTTCAGTATCAAACCTCTGGAATGCATCTGTGTCTAACACTGCAATACAACCTTCCCTTCATTGGAAATAAAAACCCCACTCATCATTGAAAAATACGTCCAAGTAAATATGTCTACAGTTGGGCTGCGTTTTTAGTGGTCGAGTTTTTACTTTCCCAAGTAGAAGGTGGGAGTCGTGTTTGTTTTTAAGTATAGCGTTTCCTTCCCAGGATCCTAATAATACCGAAAGGAATAATTTGTTTTGCTTTTTAGATAACTGGTGGTCTCAAGTATGCCCAGGATACTTCTTGAGGCTGGTGGATCTCTATAAAGGCGCAGTAGTTTACCTCTTGAATGGAAGAAAAACATTATTGATCCCTGTCTTGTACAGTAGCTATATCACTGCTGCACTCAAACTTCTGGAAAAACTCCATAAAGTAAGGGAACAATTCTCTGTATGCATGCATGTGAGTGTGTGTTACCATGTACAGTGGTGCCTCGCTTAACGAGTGCACCGTATAGCGATGTTTCCGTATAGCGATCCCTTTTTCGGGATCGCTATACGGAAACATACCCGATCTTCGCAATGGGGAAAACCCGCATTGCGAAGATCGGGTATTGCGGCAGCCATTTTGGAGCCACCGAACAGCTGATCAGCAGTTCCAAAATGGCCGCCGGAAGCCCGAAAATGGCTGCTGGCAGCCGTTTTCGCGCCCTGCCCTCGCTTAGCGAAGGCGCGAAAATGGCTGCCGGCACCTGGAATCCTCGCTGAACGGGTAAGTAACGAAGGTATTGGAACGCATTAAACGAAGTTTAATGCGTTCCAATACCTTTCCCCTACCCGTTTAGCGATGATTCCGTATAGCGAGGGTTAATCCGGAACGGATTAACCTCGCTATACGGGGCACCACTGTATAGGTGTTCGGAATATGTCTGCAGTGGAAGATTGTGGTTTTGTTAGCCTGCTTCTTGTGTGTGCCTGCCCCTAATTCTCCCTATATCTGCCATTTGTGTGTTGAGTTTTATGTTTGTCCTTGAGCCTTTCTGTAGGAACCACACTATTAGTATACAGTACTTGAGTTCTTCAGTGTTTTCTTCAGTTCAGATTTTTGTACATTTACCTTTGTGCAAGTAGGTCTTTATACAATTAAGAAATCTCTGCCTCCTGTTTTACACACATGTTCCAATATGTGGCATAGAGTTCTCTGTTGTAACTTTTATTTATTTAAAACATTTATACTCTGCTTTTTTCCTCAAGAAGACGTGGCTTACAGTGTTAAAACAATGTTAAAAGTTGATAAACAATACATTATTACAATATTTTAGGGGGGGAAACAGAATGTTAGAACTAGTAGATAAAAATGGTTCTCAAACACATTAAAGCCTGAGAAAAACACAAGAGCCTGTCACTGAGAGAGAGCTTGCCTAAAGAGAAAGATTGGTGCCTACTTGTGGAAAGAGGAGGCCAATCTGACCTCTTGTGGGAAGGAGTTCCAGAGTCTAGGAGCAGCAACAGAGAAGGCCCTGTCTCGTGTCCTCACCACATGCACCAGTGAGGTTAGTGGGAGTGAGAAAAAGCTTCCCCTGATTATTTTGAAACCTGAACAGGTTCATAAAGGAAAATGCAATATTTGGGACAGCTTGGATTCAAGTCATTTAAGTCTTTATAGGTGAAAAACAGCATTTTGAATTGTGTGTGGAAGCGGACTGGCAGCTACTGGGCTTGGACTTGAGCGGAAAGTTAGACTCGATGGTCTTATAGGACACTTCCAACTCTGTGATTCCGTGATAATTTTACAACAGAGAGTTTTGTGGCTTTTGTAACCAGCTCCAGTTAGCAATCTGGCTGCAGTATTTTGGACCCCCTGAAGGTTCCAAACTCCTTTCAAAGGGAGCCCCATGTAGGGTGCATTATAGTAATCCAACTGGGGTTTCTGTTCTCAGTTCATTCATTTCAAATTACCTATGTTTGTTAGCTTTGTCTTTACTGAGTCCTACTTCTAACCGTCTTCTTTGTTTTTTATACTGATCTGTATCGTGAAACATTTTGTTGCCCTGTTTCCCGTTTTTATTTTTTACTTTTTGAAACTAGGTAAACCAGAAAGTTAAGCATGTAGAATATGACAAGTTTTACATCCCAGAAATTTCCAGCCTGGTAGATATTCAGGAAGACTACCTGATGTGGTTCTTACATCAAGCTGGAATGGTAAGTTTCTTTGCCTCCCGTGGAGATGGGTGGAGGGAAAGAGATCCCGGGGTGTGTCAAACCTGAACATCCTCCAAAGGTAAAACCCTACAGATGAACTTTTAATGCAAGTTATTAGCATGTGTATTTAAGATGGTGACAGGTTTTGGATGCTTGGAACATGTAGAATGTCGGGCCGTGACAGGTTTTTTGTATATAAATAGGAACACAGAGGTATAACAGAAGGGAAGTGGCAAATAATAGAAGGTAAAAAGGGTAGGAATTTGTTTCAGGACTGAAATGGATGTGGACTTTTATCTTGGTTTCGAAACCTGTTTGCCCATAAGGTCTAGAAACATTTAAAATTAAGTTTCTGAAAAATATTGGGTCTAGGTATTGTTATACATAATAGGCAGGATCCAGAGAGAGCTGGAAGGTTAGTTGTGTGCCCTGTGGACTTCCTGGATAACAATCTCCTCTCGCTTTCATCCTCCAGTGTTGCATCGCAAGCCATCTTTTAGAAATTCAGCAGGAAAAGTTAGCAGGCAGCAAAAAAGAGAGGGTCCTTTGGGGAGGGACCGCTCCTGGGCTGGTGAGAGGGGGGCTCAGTAGGAGGCTATATAGGTATCTGGTGGAAGGGAGCTGTCAGCCATAGGAAGAAGTGAAATTATGGGGGAATTCCCTATCATAATTGGGAGTGCATTTAGGAAATTGAGGTTTAAAGACATTTGTCAGTGGGCCCTGCTGATGAGGTAAGGATTGCTCTCTTCTCCTGCCTCCTCCGTGCGCTCGCCCATTCCCCAGGAGATGCACACTTCCCTGCCCTGCCTCCTTCAGTGAGCGGAGGAGGTGGAGTTGGGAAGTGTGGGCTGCAGTGGCTGAATGAGCAGTGGCACTGAGGAGGCAGGGAGGGAAGCGCGCATTCCCTGGATAATGGGTGAGCACACAGAGGAGTTGAGAGAAGAGACTGTATGGCCTCCGTGGAATGCCTGTCTGGGTGTGGCTTCAAGCTGGGCCAAATCGCCAAATGGCGATTCATGCTTATCTTAAGTTGTGAGGGTAAGGGGAACAGATGTTGTCCTTTAGCTTGGTCTACGTAACAGGGCTGTTGTGAGGATAAGGAGCCTGAACATAATGTATTGACCCTTGAACTCTTTGGAGGACTTGTAAGATCACAATGTTTAGCTGACATCCTGTTTCTTTATCTTTTTCTTCTTCTCCCTCCCCCTGCCCAGAAGGTAAGATCGTCTATCATGCAGGTAAAAATTCCATTTAGTTTTGCCCAAGACATTTGCAGCCAAAGTCTGGGCTGCTACCCTTAAATTGACCGGTTCCTCCTTTCCAGGATGCTGTGACCTTGTGCTCATATCCATTCATCTTTGATGCTCAAGCCAAGACCAAGATGCTGCAGACAGATGCTGAACTGCAGATGCAGGTACGGTATTTCACTTTTTTTTCTTTCTGGTCTGCCTGCCTATCCATCCCTTGCTTCTCTTGCTTTCCAGGTGCTCACCTTTGCCTCTCCATTCATAGCTCCATGACATTTGCTCACCTGGGTGTAAATGTACAGTCCAGTCATTGTAAAGAAAAAAAATCTGTGTCAGAGTGGACCTGTCCTTGTGGTCCAGAAGAAAATTTTGTCCCCTAGGGGTCCTCCATGGGTCACAGTGTCTTTAAAAATGCATTTTAAATTTTAGTCTAACTCTTCGGAGGTCTTTTTTATGAAATAAAAGCCCTACCCTGCACTAAAGCAGGGCCCTAAAGCAGGGTTCTGTAACAGAATTGTCACCCATTGAGCAAGCATTCAGTATTTTCAGATGGCTTTCCCCCCTCCAGCTAGAGGATGTCCAGACTCGTGAAAACTGGCATTGTGGTGATATATGATTTCCACCCCTGCTGTCAATAACAGTTTACTGCTAAAATACATATTGGTCAGAATGGCATGGCTTAGCATATGGCCAGACATAGAAGAGTGACTCATTAATTAGCAGCACTTAATCGCTGTGGACTCTGCCATTGCATTTACGCTGGTGCAACTAGCCAATAGGATTCTTGCCATAATTTATAAGATACATATTTTTGAAAGAAAAAATGTCCTGTGCAGTAATTCATTTTTCTGCAACATATGCCTACTCTTGTAATGGGTCACCATGATACAGGCATCATCTTGCCTCATTCATCACTAGGAAGAAATGTAGTTACTTGCTGTCTTTGCTTAAAAAATGTGCATAAAGTTTCTTGTTGAGTACTTTTCAGTTGTAACTGACCTGCAACAGAGAAAACAGCCTTAATCCCATCAGTCCCTTTATTCATTGAGTCCAATATTGTATCCTGTGACTGGCAGCAACTCTTCTGGATCTCAGGCAGCATCATTTCTGTCATCACCTACCTCACCCTTTTTCATAGGATCATAGAATTGTGGCGCTGGATAGATCTGCAAGGATTGCCAAGGCTGGCCCCCTAGCAGTGCAGAAAATCTACAGTTAAAGCATCCTTAACTGGTGGCCACTCAGCCTTTGCTTAAAAACCTGCAGTGAAGGAGAGTCAACACATACCCTGGCAATCAATTTCATTGTGAAAAGGCTCTCACAATTAGTTCTTCCTAATGTTTAGTCCAAATCCCCTTTCTTGTAGCTTGAAGTCTCTCTTTAGTTGGAAGTGCAAGGGATTGAATAAGGGGCCTTCTGCACACAAAGCATGTCTTCTTGGGTGGGGGATTTTGGGAACTGTGTTTCCTAAAAGTAACATTTCCAAGTTCCAGTTGAGGTGATATAGGTGTACTTCTTTAAGTCTTTGGAAAATTCTCTTTAGCAATAAAGTGCTATTTTATTTACTCAGATACAATTCAACCTGGATGTTGTGCATAAGCTCAGTAGCTGGGAGTACTTAACATTTCAATTTTTTCACTGAAGCTGGAAAAGGTGGGGGATGGGTTCTGAAATTATCTGTAATGCTGGCTCTGGGGAAAGTAGTTTTTAACCCTAAACGTTATCTCTTGCTGGTTTTGTGAGCTAAATCTCTCCAGCCCAGCTCTGCCAACATTGCTATTTCCATTTTTGTCCATTAGTGTATTTGGTTAGGGTGACTTGTATCAGCAAACCCACTGATGCTTCTGTTCCAGCCACATTTCGAGCACCCATCCCTCGATTTCCAACAGCTTTTGCAATAAAAAAGAGATCTGGTCAGAGATAGCTTATAAGTTAGGTCTCGTTCATGGGATGACGGGCTCAACATGGATGACCCTTCCTTTGCTACCGTATTTTTTGCTCCATAAGGCGCACCTCTCCATAAGACGCACCAAATTTTTAGGAGAAGAAAACAGGAAAAAAATCTGTTTTCTTCTCCTAAAAATTGATGAGCCTTATGGAGAGGTCCGTCTTATGGAACACAACTTAGGACCCTTTGGAGGCTCACCCAGCCCCCCCTGAAGGCCAGAGGAGGCAAAATCGCCACCTTCTGGGGCTCTTTTGAGGCTTGGGAAGCTTCAGAAGAGCCCCAGAAGGTGGTGATTCACCCCCTCTGGCCCCGTGCGGGGGTGGGACAGCGTGGCAAGGGTCCTGGAAGGCTCCCTTGGGAAGCCTCAAAACACTCCCAGAAACGGGCGATTTTACCACCCCCTGCACCCGTGGGGGAGGGTGGGGGCAGCGTGGCAAGGGTCCTGGAAGGCTCCCTTGGGAAGCCTCAAAACACTCCCAGAAACGGGCGATTTTACCACCCCCTGCACCCGTGGGGGAGGGTGGGGGCAGCGTGGCAAGGGTCCTGGAAGGCTCCCTTGGGAAGCCTCAAAACACTCCCAGAAACGGGCGATTTTACCACCCCCTGCACCCGTGGGGGAGGGTGGGGGCAGCGTGGCAAGGGTCCTGGAAGGCTCCCTTGGGAAGCCTCAAAACACTCCCAGAAACGGGCGATTTTACCACCCCCTGCACCCGTGGGGGAGGGTGGGGGCAGCGTGGCAAGGGTCCTGGAAGGCTCCCTTGGGAAGCCTCAAAACACTCCCAGAAACGGGCGATTTTACCACCCCCTGCACCCGTGGGGGAGGGTGGGGGCAGCGTGGCAAGGGTCCTGGAAGGCTCCCTTGGGAAGCCTCAAAACACTCCCAGAAACGGGCGATTTAGTACGAAAGCACTGCATAGTCCACAAAGATTTGGATGCCTCCCCAAGTCATCCCTGTATAGCAGTGGTCCCTAACCTTTTCCCAACCACGGACCGGTTGAGGGGGGTGGCGCGCCCACAGCGGGGTGAAGCTTCTGCGCATGCTGCACTTGGGGGTGCTCATGTGCATGCGCACATCGCACTCACAGGGTGGAACGCGCTTGTGGGCATGTGCATGTTGTGCTCGTGTGGGGCGCTTGTGCACATGTGCATGTCATGCTCGCAGGGGCAGAACATGCTTGCTCACATGGGCAGGGGGTGTAGGAAATCTGTGTCCGCGGCCTGGTCCTGGATAGGCCACGGACCACTGCCGGGTCACAGACCGGGGGTTGGGGACCTCTGCTGTATAGCACAGGTTAGGACACATTGAAGGGATAAACAGGCACTCTTGGCCTAATCCAAACATTCCCAAACACTCTGAAATGGAGATGAAATGAAAGGACATGCTTGCCTATAAATGGGTTGCCTACAAATTGTGTTTCTGCTCCTACCTGTCATTCTGCCTACAGCTGGCCACTGGGCTGATGCTGGTCTACCTATGAAGGCTGGACTCAGTTCAGAGTGTGCAAATTTCTGGTGTTTGTTGGACTGCAGCTTCTGTTAGCCCTAGCCAGTAGAGATGGGCACCAGCTGCCGAACCGGTGTTTGTGCCAGTTTGTCCTTTGGTCAAACAAGTGTTTTGGCACTTCCCAGCCCCACCGCTTCCTGCAGGCGCCCACTCAGAGGCGGTGCCCCAGCTTCCCTGCCCTGCCTCCTCTGAGTACTGCCTCTGAGTGGGCTGCCTGCTGGAGGAGGCGGGGCTGGGAAATGCTGAACTGAAGCATTTGTCCCAGCTGAAGGACAAATGAGCACAAACTGCCAGATTGACAATCTGTGCCCATCTCCGCTAGACAGCACATCTATTGTGAGTGGTCATGAGGAGTGATCAATTGTTGATAACTGATATACAGGCCAATAGATAAATAATGCCGCTGAATCTCAGCAGTACTTTGAAAGTTGTATCACTGTTATTTATTAAATAGCCATAGACAGATACTTTCCCTTCTTCCTGTTCTAACATACCCATCATTTTAGTTTCCTTCATTTGATTAGGTAGTAACCTCTCAAAGAATCTTTGCATAGGCATCCGTAGCCAGTTGTTTTCTCTCAAGGAGAAATGATGTGGGCAAGAGGAAAGGAAGGAAGAAAATCCATCTTCTGTTGCTTTTTGTGTGTGTTTACAGGTAGCCATCAGTGGAGCCAATTTACAGAATGTTTTTATGCTTCTTACCTTGGAGCCCCTCTTGGCCCGAAGTCCTTTCCTCGTCCTTCATGTCCGTAGGAGCAACTTGGTTGGCGATGCCCTGAGAGAATTGAGTATCCATTCCGATATTGACTTGAAAAAACCCCTGAAGGTAAAGCCCTCTTGGTTCCTTGCTCACATGAGTTTCATAAGAGTGGCTTTCGTCCCAGTGAAGTTTTAAATCTATACATGGGCTGTAGTGCTTCAAGTGGACTTTCAGACAGCTGAACGTTTGTTCACATAGTATAATCCTCTCAAGATAAAGGCAAAAGAAAATCTGTATAGGTCTGTCCAGCCCTTGAGGTCATGTATTCTAACCTTGCCCTGCCTGGTGCCTTTAAGATATGTAAGACTACCCTTCCCATCTGCCCCAACCAGCATGACCAGTGGTCAGGGATGATGCAAGTTGTAATCCAAGGATATTTTAAGAACATCATATTGCAGAAGGCTGATTAACTCATTCTGCTGAGGCTCTTCGACAGATCTCTCTGTGCAAAATGTACTGAGGCTTTTTGGCCATTTTCTTGAGCCCTGTTCAACACTGAAAAGCTACATTAGAAGCCGGGTGGTTTAGAAAAAATGGTGAATAAGGGTGCAGCTGGCTCAAGGCATTTTGCTGAACAGCAAACAGTGCCTCCAGCCACAGGAGAGAAGGGTTGCTTTGGCATTTGAAGCATAAGATCCAACGAGCGCCTCTTTCTACAAATGCAATAAAAATGAAACTATTTGCTGTCCATTCTTGACACCCCAAGTTGACTGACATAGTGGCCGCTTCCCTGAATAATTAAAGAAGTGGTAGAAATGGTGAGGTTAGGCACAGTGTAAAGAAAGTGAATAAGAACACATTTCTTTCTCTCTCTTAATAATAGAACCCAAGGTCGTTCCCCCTTGTTGAATAGTGAGAGATTCAGCATAGATTTAAATTTTTTTTCTTCACACAGCATACTGAAAACTGTGAGGTTTGTTACTACAAACTATAGTAATGGCTACCAACTTGAATGGCTTTAGCAAGAGACGAGGCAAATTTGTACAGCATGGCTAACGGTCATGACAGATATGAATTTCTTCCAGTGTCAGAGGAAGCCCACTAGGTAGCCTAGGGAGTTGGGGGTCTGGCTGCATAGCTAGAAGTTGGGACTTTTATTCCCCAGCATACCTTGCAGGAGAAGAGCCAGCCTATGCGGCCTTGGGCAAAAGGGAGTTGGGGGTCTGGCTGCATAGCTGGAAGTTGGGACTTGTATTCCCCAGCACACCTTGCAGGAGAAGAGCCAGCCTATGCGGCCTTGGGCAAGGTGCACTGTCCCAGGGTATTCCCCCCCCCCCCAGAAGGATGGAACAGTAAACCACTTTGAGGTACTCTCTACCTTGAAAACCCAAGAAGGGTTTGCCGTAAGTCAGAATCAACCTGACAGCCTGTAATTAGTAGTCTCTGTTTGATGAGAGACAATCTGCCTGTAAAGAATGGTTTCTGAGTTGGATGGAATGGGCACGAGGAAGGAAGGTGTTCCTCCATCACTGTTGTTCAGGAAGTTGTCCATATGGAGCTAATTGGGCCCTTTGGGAACCAATTAGTGGACTGAGTAGGCTGTTGGTATGATCCAGCTCAGCTTTTCTTCCATTCTTATGAAGACAGCACTGTTTTCATGCATTGTGACAGGTGATTTTCGACGGGGAGGAAGCGGTTGATGCTGGTGGGGTCACGAAGGAATTCTTCCTCCTCCTGCTGAAAGAGCTCCTGAATCCCATCTACGGAATGTTCACCTGCTATCCGGAATCGAACCTGCTGTGGTTTTCAGATACTGTGAGTGTGGGTTTGGTTTATGTGTGCGAATAATTCACTGGGAAGCCTGCCAGCCAGTCCTGAGCTTGTCCAAGGCTTCAAACAGCTTTTGAGACCTGCTATTTTTCAGATCTCATTCTCTTGTCAACCTCCCCATTGGGATTATCATGACTGTCATCCCAGCAGCGTGACCACTTTGACACATCTGGAGGGTATTGGCATCTATGGGGTTCTCCTACTAATGCTTCTTTCTCCTTGTGCATCTGAAGTGTTTTGTAGAACACAATTGGTTTCACCTGATTGGCATAATCTGTGGGTTGGCGATATACAACTTCACCGTGGTGGATCTTCATTTTCCCTTGGCTTTATATAAGAAGCTCCTGAACGTGACGCCTTCCTTGGAAGATCTGAAGGAGCTGTCCCCAATGGAAGGAAGGTAGAAACTTCTAGAAGGATGTTTTCCTGCCTGTTTGGCATAGACATTCAGCATAAATTTGGCTGCTTCCCCTTTAAGAAAAGTCAGGTAAAGAGGAAAACTAGAAGCTTGGGCATTGCTTTCTTGCCGAAAATGAAGAACGTCTCAGATGTTTTTTTTTAAACTTTATCCATCTAAGAATAGTTTATAGTAGAATTCTGCTGTCCAGACCAGTATTCGTTTTGGTTTGAAATGGAGGATCTTATTTTATTTTTAATAGTCCATTAAAAAGATGCAAACCAAGCCATAGACTCATAAAAGGCTACAGAGAAAAATGTAATGTACAGTTTGAAATCCAGTAGTTACATGCAACTAGAGTAGAGCCACGGTGGGATGTACCTAGTTATTTACTCACCAAATCCTCACTTGTTCATTGGGACTACTCTAGCAGCAGCTAACTACTGGATTTTAGCCACAAGGTTGAAAACTACCTTGAAACCTGTTCTTCCAATACATGGTAAATAATGAAAATTTATGTGCTGTCAAGTCTGTTCCAGGCTAGCTATATAGATTGGCTTTTCTTCTGGAAAACTGAGAATCAAACTTTCAGCTTCTGTTACTGCAGTCAGATTCTTAACACACTGAGCTGTCTAGCCAGTGCTGTATAGTAAATACAGTGGGGTTTTGAGTTACGAACGGCCCGAGGTACGAACTTCAGATTCTTAACACACTGAGCTGTCTAGCCAGTGCTGTATAGTAAATACCTCCTCTGTCAATCTTACAAGCAGTATGGCTTGTGTCTTGATTTTTTATCAAATTTCTTGCTTGGTTAACACTATAACATTCCAAGTAGTGTTTATACTAGTCTTTTAAGGGTGGACATGTTGCACGTTTTGAGTACCAATCAATGGCTGAAATCCTGTTGCACAGCTACGAGTGCATAATGTGGAGCTGTGCAAGTAGTAGGAAAGATCACAGCAGGACAGAAGCGCTATTGCACATAGCAGTTCCATTTGCTTCTCACACAACAGTCATAGAAAGAACCACGTGACTGATTGTGCAATCAAAATTCACAGTGCTGGCTGCCTGGGTGTAACTCTTGGCACATTTGTGCAGGCTTAACTCTGTGTTACACGAAAATGAAGAGATTTCAGCCTACTGTATATATATATTTTTTGCATCTTTTGGCAAATAAAAAACCCATTTGAAATCCTCCTACGTGATAATGCCCTTTAAATATTTCAAAATTGTTTTTACATTGGATACGTTTTTTAAAATTGCTTTTACATGGGATGATATTTTGCAACTGACTCCAGAACTGTTTAGTAGAAGAGTTAGGAAAGAGAACTTGATGATAGGTACGAACAGTGTTATATCAAAAATGTTTAGTTTCTCTCTTTGTTTTACTCTCTTTTCATTTTTTCCTCCTGCCTTTTCTTTATCTTATTTATAGGAGTCTTCAGCAACTTTTAGATTACCTAGAGGATGATGTGGAAGAAACATTCTGCCTCTTTTTTACAGTAAGGCCAGTCAATATGTATTTAATTGTGAGGGTTTTGTGTTTTTGTAAGCCAAAGAATCACCCATGTTCGAGGTGGTCCAATAAGGGAGTGCAACTACTCAGTGTTGGAAGGTTCCATTGGGTTTATAGAAGTGTGAACCTCTCTGTAAAAACAAGGGTGCACGCGAGGTATGAATCTTGTTTTAATGCAAGAGTGTCTTTTTTCCTGCCGTTGGCACCAGTGTTTCACCAAAGCTGACAGAGGCAGTATTGATGTCTGGGGGTGCCCAAAGCTCAGAATTGGGTCACTTGTGTTTTTAAATAACAGTTTAAAAATTAAATTTTAAAAGCTAATTGTCTAACAGCTTCTAGAAATAAAAAGCAAAGCAGAACCCATTGTCTGCATTTTTTCCTCCTGCATTTTAAGATCCTTTCACTTCTCCCCCCCCCACCCAAGACAGTCCATTACTCTTCCCAGTTCCTAATAAATAACAGAAGTCTCCTTTCCAAATTTGTGCAGCCGCTGTCTTCAGAATAAGTGGTGCAGCTATGCAGATGATGAAAGCCATGAAAATTAACCATTATGATGTACTCTTGTCTAATAAATACGTTCCTGCTTTTCTGTCTGCAAACTCTATACTGCTCCAGTATGGCCCCAAAAAGGATTAGCTCCCCAGCTGGACCCAAAAAGTTCTGCGGGGGCACAGACCGGGGTTAGACTAGAGTGCTATTCTCCATACATCTTACGATTCCTGGGAAATCGCTTGCACCAGACCGTGCCACAAGTGGTCCACAATGTGAGCCTATATGCCTGTGTGAAGCATTGGTGCATGAAAATTGAAAGGAAATCCAATAAGTCATCATTGACTCCTAATTAACATCATCTCCTAATTTTGGACAAGTCTGCATTGTGGGGAAGAGAAGGCTTAGCTGAACGCTATGTGTAGAACAGACCATAACTGAGCCGTCGATACATATTGATTACATGCATTTTCCCCTGAGGTGTGTATAGCATTTATATGGGACTAAATGTGTTTTGGCATTGCTGTTAAAATTTGGGAGGGAATCCAGCCATGAGTAATAGTATATTTACTGTCCGATCAGACCAGGTGTGTCAAATTTAAAACAGCCAAATTCTTGATAGCAGCTTTGGAAAAAAAAAAACTTGAAATTTAATGGATGTAGGTAAGAATGTGTGTGCGTTGTGTGGCTAGTATTTTTCTCTCTCCTGTATTGTAGGCACACATAGCAATTAGAACTAGATAGATGCTTTACATACGTCTGTATTTTGTGTCTGCCTTCATGTACCAGGAGGGACATTTTCAGTCTTTCAGAGTCATGATTTAATGCAAAATCCGTGCAGAATATTTGTGGTGTTTGGCATTATCCCAAGGTTTTAGCTACTTGCCGTATGCAGTTTACTCTTCATAGCGGGCAAATTGGTTGCTTTTTGTCTCTGGGACTCTTTTCTTTTCCAGCCAGTGTAAATTATTAGCCCGGGGGGGGGAGCGCAGAGGGAGGGGAATCCTGTGCCATTTTTGTTAAACCACCATGCCAAGAAACAGAAGTGGTTATTTGTAAGGATGGGAGTTTCATAATCCTAAAAACTTTCTAATCCCAGAAGCCGCCAGCCAGACCTCTGGAGCCTGAATTGGAGAAACAAGAAGGAAACTATTTTGTCTACCTCCATATTGTGCTTCTTTCTGCTTGGAACCGGAAGAAACCTGCATCAATTTGTCAATCAATTGGTCTGCTTCCTGGGAATCTCCGCAGTGTTTGATGGGTAGAGTAGTCTCACTACCCATCATACTCTGTAGCGGGGGCCTCTCACAGAACTACCCTCAAGTGGAGCAATGAGGTGATTCCCAAGTGTGAAAGAAATGGCATTTCCCCCATCTGTTTCCCAGCCAAACCATACGCAGTGACAATGAGAACACACCTCTTCAGCTTTCTTGTTTCTCTTCTCCCAGTTCCGGAGGTTCGCGTGAAGGACCCTAGGTGACTTCTGGGACCAGAATTCCTAGAATTACAGAAATGCCCCCCCCAATTGTTAGCTTGTATTGTATCCTCCTTTGCAGAGCGGGAGGTGCTGGAACTCAGAAAATACAAGGGGTTCACATGAAATCCCCATGAACCTCAAGCACAGTCTGAACCATACTGATAACTCTTAGTATATTGAGTCAGAAAAACAAACAGAGAACTTGTTCAATGCAATTTTTAAAAAATCACTGAGGATTAATTTAGTATGTGTTTGAGCAACTTCCAACAATTACAACTGTGTTGTAGCTAACTCTGTGTTGTGGGATCTTTAAGATGAGTGGATCTATTACAGCATTAGCTTCAGTGGACTATAGTCCGAGATGTTTCTAAGAAAGCACACTGTAATGAAAAGTCTTGGTTTGAAAGGAGCCACAGAGTTTTTAGTTGTTTTAGTATTTTTAGTGTATATGATTTTATACTCTAGGACAGTACAGTGGTGCCTCGCTTAACCCGTTTAGCGACGATTTCGGAACGGATTAACCTCGCTATGCGGGGCACCACTGTAGTCCGCAACCTTTTCTGAACTGTTGGTGGGGGGCAGGGTCCATGCACGGAGGGCACGTTGTGCTCACGGATGGGCGGGGCGCACTCACACACATGTGCGGAGGGGCTGTGGCATTCTTGGGTGGGCGGGGCACCCCATGCCTGTGGGTGGGCTGGCCGTGCATGTGTGGGGAGTGTGTGCAGGGGAGGTGGGAGATCTGTCTCCGCGGTCCGGTCTGGCCATGGACACGGACTGGCACCACGCCGCAGACCGGGAGTTGGGGACCCCTGCTTTACAAGACAACCTGCGTAGCTCTTTTTGTTTTAACTTCCTGTGTTAAGATACAGAATAAAGCAATTTTGCCCTCTTTTTGGGTTGGGTAAAACAGATATGCCGAGAAAGCTACGGAGTGGTGGAGCAGAAGAACCTTGTTCCTGAGGGAGACAAAATTGCAGTACAGAAGGACAACAGGTAGGTTTGCTTTGGTGATGGATTGGAGAAGGCCTGACGTAGTGCTTACGTGACTGATAGTATCCTTCATTGTGGGTATGTTGGTTCACACCTAAGCTTCTTACAGAGAAGATTTTAATATTCTGCTCTTTAGACAGGAGGATATGAATCTTAATAAATAAAAGATGCTGAAAATAAAATCCTATTGTACAGGAATCATTGGGGGATGTACATGAATCCAAATATTAGAATATGACTGAAAGGTGAGGAATGTAATCATAAAGAAAAGGTTCTGTTTTCTGTCCTTCATCCTTCTTCATTTACTGACATTTTGGTTTAGTCCAGGGGGAAGAGCAAGATAATAAAGTAGATCCAACATCCTGCACATCAGACTGCATGCTTTATTCTTTTATATTTGCAGTAGATTTACATAAGCAAGCATCACCCTGATTGTGGTTAGTTTTGTGATGCTCCTTCCAAGGAACTTCCCAAATAGGTCAGACTTAAGAATACATTTATTTATTTGATTTATATTCCGCCCATCTGGTCTGGTCGACCACATCTAATCCAACCCCCTGTTTGCTAGAGCAAAAATACAGAACTATTGTTTTGGTTTTTTATTTATTTATTTATTTATTTTTTTTTTTTTTATTTGAGAGCTAGTCATCCCATTCTGTGGAGTTCCCCATATGGGTTCCCCTTCCCCAGGAACAGCAAGCAAGCTCTGTCCGGCCCCCACCCCCGAACGTCTCTGAAACTGAATGTGGAACCCAGACTGAAAGAGGGTTTCCCCACCACCCCTTTTCCTGGGGTGACCAGTCAGATGCTTATGTGATGTCCACAGGCAGGCCCAAAGGCAGTAGCTCCCTCCCTTGCCCCCCCCCCCCTCCACCTGGTTCGATACACTACTTCTAAAAATGGAAATTCCATACATTGGTCATGACAATCTCTTTTCTTTTGCTGTTCTGGTGTCTAGGGTCATTCAGGCCCAGCAGGAAAGAAGAGTGGGTTGAGGATGCCAAGAATTGCTGGATAGCTCAGTGGTTTAGGTATCTGGCTGTGGAGCCAGAAGTTGGGAGTTCAATTCCCCACTGTGCCTGCCTGACAGGAGCTCTTGATATACAGTCGTGCCCTGCTTGACGATTAGCTGCCTGACAGGAGCTCTTGATACACAGTCGTGCCCCGCTTGACAATTACCCCGTTTAACGATGAATCCACTTCACTATGTTTTTGTGATCACAAAAGCGATTGCAAAACGATGTTTAACTGGGGGTTTTTTTCGCTTAGTGATGATCGGTTCTATGTTTTTGTGATCACAAAAGTGATTGCAACACAATGTTTAACTGGGTTTTTTTCGCTTAGTGATGATCGGTTCCCTGCTTCGGGAACTGATTTTTCGCTAAATGATGTTTTTTCAACAGCTGATAGGCGGTTTTCAAAATGGCCGCCGGCTCTCAAAATGGCCCCTAGCTGTTTTTATGAGGTATTTTTCGCAAGACAGGCACCGGAAAATGGCCGCCCTATGGAGGATCTTCGCTTTACGATGAGGAATTTCGGCCATTAGAACGCATTAGCCAGTTTCTAATGCATTCTAATGGGCTTTTTAATTTCACTTGACGAGGATTTTGCTTAACAGCGATTTCAACGGCACAGATTATCCTCGTCAAGCGAGGCACCACTGTATAGGTCCCTTCGAGCTCTGCAGTTCTATGATCATAATTCTATTCTCAGTTAGGTCCAGGTCATAGAATGTAGAAATGTAGGTGCATCTGAGCAGGATTTGGGAGCTTTGCTATCAGTGCTGATTTGATGGCTTCTGATCTATGGGTTTCCCCTTTTCACCACTATAATGAACCAAGATTTGTCTTACAATCTTTCAGGCAGGAATTTGTTGATGCCTATGTGAATTACATCTTCAACGTTTCGGTACATGAGTGGTACACAGCCTTTTCCACTGGGTTCCTGAAGGTTTGTGGTGGGAAGGTTCTGGAACTGTTCCAGCCCTCTGAATTGAGGGCTATGATTGTTGGAAGCAGCAATTACAACTGGAAAGAACTGGAGGAGGTAAGTTGGGAAACAGCTCCATCTCTTTTGTCCTTTTGTGGGACTGCAATCAAATTGGCGTTTGTCAGTTTGGTCTGGATAGGATGGGCTGAATTGCTCCCTTTCCCAGTGAACATACAAGGTACATGCTATTGCGAACCAGCCCATCCCTGATCAGTGCTTACCTGCACCTTTTGGGGTACCTGTCAAGGGCTACTTTTTTGGTGTGGGTATGATTGCTCTGTTTTGGTTCAGTTCCAGCATGCGTGATTGCTAGGATCCAACCAAAGTGGATGGCTTAAGCTGTTTCTTTGCTTAAACCGCTTAACAATCTTGAAACATTGAAAATGTCCTTGCAGCTTCCCTGTGGAAAGGAAGGGAGAGAAGGTTTTCTATTTCTTTTTAATCATTGAACATGCATCAGTGCTGCTTTGAAATACTTTTTAAAAAGGCCCCTTCAGTGCATCACTGATGCACTTTTTTGATTACTAACAATTCAAAAGAAACAGAAAACTTCCTCTCCCTTCCTCTGCTTTGAAATACTTTTTTAAAAAGGCCCCTTCAGTGCATCAAGGATTTTGATTACTAACAATTGAAAAGAAACAGAAAACTTCCTCTTACTTTCCCTCTGCAGATGAGTGGCAAGGAAACTTTCCATTTCTCAGGATCGTTAAGTGGCTTAAGCAAACCTGCTTTATCTTTTGTTAGCATGTCTTCTGGATAGGAAGAATGGAAGTTGTAGTGTGATTGGGGGAGGCAGGATATATTAAATCATTCTAAATTCATGAATCTTGTGACTGAATGCTGTACTAATGGTAATCCTGTGCATGTACACTGAGAAATAAGCTCCACTGCATTCGGTGATCAAATTCCTATTGCTTAGTATAGTAAGTTGCACTAGAAAAGGCCCATTGAATCAGTGGGGTTTGATAAGTCAACTCCTCCATTTGCTATTTAATTTCCTTGCACTAAAAAAGGCCCATTAAATCAGTGGGGTTTGATGAGTCAACTCCTCCATTTGCTATTTAATTTCCTTTGATTCAAAGGGATCTACTCCATTTGCAATTTATTTAGCGTAGTAAGTTGTAACTGGGATATCCATTATGATGTAGTAGATAAAATAATGGACGAAGACTTAGGATCAAATTTCTGCTCAGCCATGGAAGCTTACTGGGGGTATGAATCTGGTAAAACCACTTCTTAAATATATTATTTATCTTGAAAGCTCAATTAGGGTCACAACAAGTTGGTTCTAATTTGATGGCATGAAGTTGTGACTAGAGTAGGGGCATTTGAATCAATGGAACTTACAGAGAAATTTATTCCCAAATCTACTGATTCAGTGGCCTACTCTAGTGCAACCTTCTACACTAAGCAAAATAATGTAAGCAGTGGGTTTTATTCCCAGAAAAGTGTGTATATGTGGGTATAACTCCCACTGGAGTCATACTTACTTCTGAATAAATTTGCATAGGATAGTGGTGGAGAATTTCAGAGAGAGCTACTGTGCTTTAAATGATATTGGAGATTTTTTGCGACGCCTATAAATCCATGAAGCATGAGTTTGCAGGCTATAAGTGTTGAGCACTTACAACCTGCAAACTGCTTAGCTGAGTTAAAAGTTCAAAGGGCCTCACTTTCTGAATTAATGCAAAAATTTGACCATTACTTCTCTAAAATCACTGTTACCACTTGTGGTCTTGTTTACAGAGTGCAGTTTACAAGGGGGACTACTCAGTTACACATCCGACTGTTCAGATGTTCTGGGAGACCTTCCATGAGTTTCCTCTGGAAAAGAAGAAAAAGTTTCTTTGTAAGTATTTATTTAATTTAAGGTAGTAAAATATCTTCAGATCTCTGTGACTGTAACTTAATTTACTGAGTAATGATTCTGAAAACTAAAATGACAGGCTGTTCTTGGTAAACTAAGCAATATTTGATGTCTTCCACTAGACCGGTGGTTCCCAACCTTCGGTCCTCCAGTGTTCTTGGACTGCAACTCCCAGAAGCCTTCACCTCTAGCTGTCCTGGCAAGGGCTTCTGGGGGTTGTAGTCTAGGAACTTCTGGGGACCCAAGGTTGATAACCATTGTACTAGACCGATGTATTGAGGGATGTGGGCTATGGAAGTCGGTGACCATATTCACCCAAATGGATGGAGTAGAACTTCTGTTGATGGGTACCATCCACACGCTGCAGTGGAGGGGCATGTGCAGGAATATAAGCACAAATGGTAGAAGCAGACAGAAAAGGTCAAAGTTAGGGGACCCTTACACTGATCCAATTCATTTAGACAGGAGGAAAACTTGGAACTTGGTGGTGAGTGTAACACCAAGCAAAAATGAATGAGCCTAGCAGGATTAAAGAATAAGGCAATAGAGGAAGCCCAGTATTTGGCTCAGTACCGCCACCATTCATGCTGGAGTTTTCCAGCCCTGCTTGGAAATGCTGAGGACTGGACCTGGGATCTTCTGGATCGAAAGCAAGTGCTTTACTACCAACCTGCAGTCCCAAGGAAGAGTCCCGCCCCTGTAGAGGCTTTAAGAGATCAGGTATAGCCTGCTGACTGATAAGAGCCAGCCAAGATTAAAGTAAGAATCTCTCTCTTCTGCCCTGAATTTTCGGGGTGGGGGTGGGAAACACCCCTGGAAAGAGTCTACCTAACTGAGGGTGGTGGGCTTCATCACAACCTCCTGTCCCAGAAGAATCCTAGAATGGATTGTATATTGTCAGCAAATGAACGTGGATTGTTTGTTGTCTTGCTCACCTGCCTGGCATATTACTGGCCCAGGTATACCTGAATTAGGCCTTGGGCCAAAGACCATCAAACCAGGAAACTCAAGTATTAGAAAAGAAGGATAAGGAAACCCAGTAGACACCTAGTTCAATCTCTTGTCAGGTCAAGAAAAACAGAGCTAAAGCACTTTTGGCAGATGGCCATCTCAGCTTGGTTTGAAAACCTTAAGTGTATTCCATGTAGACTCAGCCCTCTTAGAAGCATTTGCTCAGTGTGAGAACAGTACTCTTTCTTCTTCACAATGGATCATTGTTGCTGAGGTAGTGGCTGTTCAAAGGGGGTCCTTATTGCAGAAGTAGAAGGGAAAATGCAGGAGGTCTGTGTAAGACATCAAAGATGCTGGTCTCCTTAGCACGGTCTCCTTAGCACAGTACAGTTGTGCCCCGCTTAACGATTACCCTGTATAACGACGAATCCACTTCACGACGATGTTTTTGCAATCGCAATTGTGATCGCAAAACGAACAATCAGTTCCGTTTTTTTTCGCTTTGCGACAATCAGTTCCCTGCTTCGGGAACCGATTCTTCGCATTACGACGATCAAAACAGCTGATCGTCGGGTTTTCAAAATGGCCGCCGGCTGCTCAAAATAGCTCCCTGCTGTTTTTAGGAGCCATTTTTCGCTTAACAGGCACCCGAAAATGGCCACCGTATGGAGGATCTTCGCTGGACAAGCAGGTATTCAGCCCATTGGAACGCATTGAACTGTTTTCAATGCATTTCAATGTTTTTTTTATTTCACTTGACGACGTTTTCGCTCTACAGCGATTTCGCTGGAACAAATTAACGTCGTCAAGCGAGACACCACTGTATCGTCATAATGGAACATCATGGGTTATCCACTTCTCCTCTTCCAGTATTCCTGACGGGCAGTGATCGCATTCCCATCTACGGCATGTCAAGTTTACGCATCGTCATCCAGTCGACATCCAGTGGGGAAGATTACCTGCCGGTAGCTCACACCTGCTACAACCTCCTTGACCTGCCCAAATACAGCACCAAGGAGATCCTGAGCATGCGACTCACGCAAGCCATCGACCACTATGAGGGCTTTAGTTTGGCTTGAGGTCAAGCCGTGGTCAACATAGACAGTTCTGTATAGAAAGAAATACCGTCTCGTTTTTATTTTTGTAAGGAATTTGGATATAGATACTCAGTGAAAGGGAGGAAAAGAGCATAGGATTAAAAAAAAACAGCAGCCAAGTCCTTTCAACGTTTATTAGGATGTAAGCTTTCATGTTGTTTTCAACTGACCAGTCAACGTCTGTTAGAATTTATTATATGCTTATTGGGTGATATTTTTAAAGGCTCTATTTTCTTCCCTGCCTCTCCCATTCCTGTTAACAGTACCTGACATATTTTGAAACATCTTCACCATTTCCAAGGTTGAACTGTGATAACTCAGAAGTTTTTTCCTCCCTCCATTTCCACAGATCTGTGAAACGCCTTTCCTTTTCCTTCCTTGCCCCGTTAAAGAATTTTCCCCTCTCTTCTCCAAGCAGCTTGGCTTCTACCTTCACAAGTAAATTCTGTGGTAAAACCACAGTTTTTTCTTCCTTTCTGGTCATGGCATCTAAACAACCATTTCCTAGATGCTACCTGAAAATGGCTCTGTCACACCGATATTTTAAAAAGGGAGGAAGATGATTTTATAAATTGAGCTCTTTTCTGTTTTTCTTCCACTGTGGTGACTGTCCACAGAAAATGATGGATGGAGTAAATAATTTCCCTATCTTCTGTTTGCTCAGAAGAATTTCAGCACTTTGTACCGTAGAAATGGATGGAAACACAGATCGTGTGAATTTCTATGACAATACCTGAATATTCTGCTTCCATTCTGTTGTTTTTAAACCATGTATATGTATTCAAATGCAGTTTCTCCACCCCACCCCATGTGCCTAGGAGTTTAGGGATGAGATCCTAAGAGCAATCCAGAGTAATTTCATCCCCTCCCCCCATGTATGCAGTTGTGTCTCCATTACAGGACACTGTTGAACCTTTACCTCACCCACACCTTCTGCTCCATCTGTCAGCCAGGTGTGCATAGAATTCAGCTTCTTGCCATACCCTGAGATGTTACCTTTGGCAGGAGGCCTCTGCTTCCCACAGAGAGAGCCAAAGCCCTTGCAAGTACTGTTTACACTGGAAGGCAGCAGGGAAGAAAGCCAGTGAAGCTGTTTTCTACACCTCTTCCTCTTAGCTTCTCCTCCCGCTCCCCAAACCAACTATTTCTTTCCCCCAAATGACTAGCCTTTTGTTTCCTAAGGTTCTTTGTCTAGCATAAGCCTCGCTGTTGGAAAATGGATTTATTTATATAAGATGTTGGCCTGGTGAGGGGCAATTAGATGTAATTTTGATTCAGTCCCAAGAAGAATAACAGTCGGAATGAATCAGATAGAGCAGTGTTGGGGTCTCTTCCCCTGATGCCATAGAACCAGTCCAACACAGCCCCTTTCCTCTGGTATCTATGGGGATTTGTTCTTTGGGTTTTTTTTTAAGTCAGAGGTATAAAGTAGCCATTAGTCACAGTTTAACTTTGTTTGGGCCTGGGCCACAGTATTCACATACCGTTGAACAATACTATTGAACCGTATTTTGCACCTCATTGGTAAAAAGCTGTGAAGGCATTGAGGGCTCTCAGAAAATTTTAAAAAAATGTAATTTGCTACCTGAATAAGCTGCTCTGCCTCTCTTTGTACTACAGCATTAAATACAGCTCTATCAAAAGTTTATTTTATATTGTATGTGTACATAGCCTGATATTATGCAATAAATGTCATGTTTCCTTCAGATGTTACTCTCCTTTGTCCTAAACAAGGAACATAAATGGTCTTAGTCTTCTTTTAGGAGCCCACAAATGGACAGGTAAAATAAAAATCTGCACTATTGGGATATTTCCAAATTGAGGATGGGAAAAGTGAGGGACTAGCATTCTGCTTGCTGGCCAGAATTTGGAAAAGCCAAAGGGGAAGAAAGACTTTATCAAGCTCTGCTCATGTCTGACATCCAAAAATAAAATGGTTGCCTTTCTGCTCAGTTCACTGGTAGAAAATGGAGGCAAAAGTGGGAATGAGGCTGTTGTTGAAATGTATCTGAGTGGCTGGCCTAAAAGCTGTCCTTTGTGGCCTCTGTGAATGCACACAATTGGGTTGTTCTGCACCTGCGCAGGACGTCTCAGATGTTTTTAGAGCTTAAAGACATGTGATTAGTAGGATGTTCCCCCATGGAGTGCAGGCTCCGCCTGCCAAAGGTCCCCTTAGTTCCTTTTTGCCGTCGCTTTGGTTCGACCTTTTTCGGAACACTAGAGTGATTACTGAGATCAATCCTTTAGATCATTCATGGACTATTTTCAATCATCTCTTAATTTCTTATTTTCAATCATCTCTTTTGTCGGACATTCGTGTAAGTTATCCGTTTCTCTTCTGAATTTACTCCATTCGTTTTTTCTCTTCTACCCACAGTTTTTTTCTCCCCCCACCACCTTTCCCTTCCTTCCCCACCTACCTTTTATTTCCGCCCCCCAGGCCTTTCATGTGGTGCGTGCTTTGCACGGATTAAGATCCTGCTTACCGACAGTCACGACCATTGCCTTTTTTGCTTAGGGGAGCAACACCAAACACACTCCTGCCCCAAGTGCAAAAAGCTTACAAAACCCACGTTAAAACTACGGCTACAAAGCCTTCGCTTGTACCTTTGGGGAAAGTCTCTTAATCCAGCCCCCATGGACGTGCCAACCTCTCCCAACTCCGCATCCAGAGAATCAAGAAACTCCTCGCCCGATATTAAGCCCAACTACTCCGTCACCTTGACAAAAATACCTTTCAAAGTCCACTTCGAAATCTAGCTCAACATCCACATCGAAAGCTCCAACCTGTCTTGATTACTCTTCTAAGAAAAAGAAAGATAAGGCTAAACCTAAGAAGACTAAGAAACATACGAAATTGACTCAAATAGATCCACCTCAACCTAGAGATGCCCCTGGCTCGATCTCAGATAGAGATGACCCAACTTGAACACTGGCTCAGGCTGCAGCTTCCATTACAGTCATGCCCCGCTTAACGATTGCCTCGCTTAACAAGGAAATTGCTTTACGATGAGGTTTAGACCATCATTTTGCGATCGCAAAACGATGGTCTGGGGGAATTTTGCTTAGCGATGATTGGTTCCCTGCTTCAGGAACCAATTTTTGCTTTACGACGATCAAAAACAGCTGATTGTCGGGTTTCAAAATGGCCACCGGCTGAAGAAAATGGCCCCCTGTTGTGCTTAGGGACAGATTCCTCACTGCATAGGCATGGAAAATGGCCACCACATGGAGGATCTTCGCTGGACAGTGAGTTTTCAGCCCATTGGAACACATTAACCGGGTTTTAATGCGTTTCAGTGGGCTTTTTTTATTTCATTTGACGATGTTTTCGCTCTACAGCGATTTTGCTGGAACGAATTAACATCGTCAAGTGAGGCACCACTGTACTAGCCTTTTGCTGAGTACTGGCCTATCTCCGGCAGATGTTCATTCCAACCCGGCCTCCACTTATTCAAGCCCTAGATCATCAGGGCGGGCAATATCTATTCAGGTCTCTGGCTCGGAATCATCTCATCGATCTCCCCACAAACACCGGGCAAAGAGATGACACCTTTCTCCAATCCAATATGCCCCTCCACACAGGGAATTTTACTATTATCCTGAACCATCTTGATACTCAACTAGAGATGACCAATGGGGATCAGTACCGCCACTACGACCCCTACTATCCTGAAGATAGAAAGCATTCCTCTCTTTTGCTAATTCTCAGATCTGACCTGCAACACCGGTTTCTCTGAAGACTTTACTTTATCCTTCATTCTTTCATCTCGGCCTATCTCATTCTACCCTCAAGGTGTATATTTCTGCTATTGTAGCCCATCAACCTTCTCAGTCTGACTCGGCTAAGCTTTCTCTCACCCAATTTTGAAGAAATTTCTGAAGGGACTTCACAATATCCGTCCCTCACGTCAACATCCTCTTCCTCAATGGTCTTTGCGACTTGTCCTCAAAGCACTTACCCAAACACCTTTTGAACCAATGGCTACTACTAATTTCAAATTACTTTATTTAAAAACATCAATCCTTGTAGCAATAACATCTGCTAAACATGCTAGCAAACTTGCAGCCATCCGATCCACCTTTCCTTCACTTCCATCCGGATACGGTTACTCTCTATTTTGATGTATCATTTTAACCTAAAATTGTCTCCGAATTTCACCTCAATCAACCGTTGATTCTACCAACTTTATTTCCGTCTCCTTCTACACCTCTCGAGTGCATGCTCCACATGCTTGTAAGTAAGACACTGTCTGGTCTTCTACATTAATAGAACTAAATCATTCAGATCATCTCCAAGGCTCTTCTTATGCTTTCATGGCCCTCATAAGGGCACCCCAGCTTTGCCTCAAACTATCTCTCACTGGATTGTTCAAACTATATACTTGGCCTACGAACTCACAGGCAAAACACCTCTTGAACATTTAATAGCTCATTCTACCAGAGTGCTGTCAACCTCTACTGCCTCCCAGTGCGGAATAGAACTTCCTCACATCTGCCATGCAGCTACATGGTCTACTCCATCAACCTTCGTGAGACATTACTATCTTGAAGTCCAGGGAAAAAAATGATGCTGCTTTTGGCAGAGCTGTTTTGATCTCTGTTTTACCACGATGTCCCACCATGCGGTAAGTGAGCATGTCAGTCACCCAATTGTGTGCATTCACAGAGGCCACAAAGAAGAAAGAGAGGTTACCTACCTGTAACCATAATTCTTCTAGTGGTCCTCTGTGAATCCACACAACTCGCCCATCCTCCCCTCTGTCCATCACATTGTATTTTGATATAGGTCTTTGACAGCTGTGGACTCTTACAGGAACTAAGGGGACCTTTGGAGGGTGGAGCATGCACTCCATGGGGGAACGTCCTACTAATCACATGTCTTTAAGCTCTAGAAACGTCCGAGACGTCCTGCGCAGGCGCAGAACAACCCAATTGTGTGGATTCACAGAGGACCACTAGAAGAATTATGGTTACAGGTAGGTAACCTCTCTTTCTTGACCATTAGGTATAGGAAACAAAATCAGGCCTAGCTGCTAGTAGCTGAAGAAATAACAGAACTGTGTTAACCTGATATTTGGAAGAGCTTTTGTACTCTATCCCTAATAGCTGGGAGCTTTTTTGTAAATTTTCTTTTTTCTCTCTACCACCCTTTTTATTTTTACTCTTTTTTGGGATGTAGATAAATACCCTTCTTGGCAGAAAGTAATTTGTCACATGGTTTCTGGCTACTTCCCAAAGCCGATTTTAATGCGACTAATCCCAAAAGTTACATGCAATTTGTTAGCATTATTAAGGCAAGTTCCAGTTGGTGTTGAACTCTGTTCCTCATTAACACACTAATGCTGGGAAGCAAAATAATCCAAGCCAAGGACCATCTCTTCCCCAAATAGCCTAAAGTTTCGCTTTCTAGATTCTAACAAGCCTGTCACAGGGCTTGCTTTATGAAAGCCGTGATTATTAAGTCTGCTGCAGATTTTATAGTGTGCTACGTTTAAGCTTCTGTGCTGTACAAGTCAATGGTTTTCTATACCATAGATGGCTCTGTTACTTGACCAAGGCAATGACCAAACATTAATTTCTAAGTATCTTCCCCCCCCCGCCACCATATGACACAGCAGTTTGATACAGTTTTTATTGCCACGGCTACATCGTACAGAGACTTGGGAGGTGTAATGATTAAGGTGCTTAGAATGCTCCGCCAGAGCATGTTAAGTGTACTTGCTAACCAACAACAGAGAATTCCATGTCTCAATAAATGGCAGACCACCATCCATTGACTGGAATTATGGTGGGTGGAGAACCACCAAACGGACTATATAGTTAGACACTGATGGTCATAGCAAGGGGGCTTAGTGGAGAAAGATTCATTGATGGATCGTTGTTGTGCATCTTCCACTTTGTACCAATGTACTATTGTTTTTGTGTGGCTGGCTTTTAAAAGATAAATTGAGCAGGAGAAGCAGAGCTCCGAAATGGTAAATCAGAAATTATGTATTTAACATCTTCTCCGCCCACCTAATGGCAAGCCACTATGCTGGACAGCTTACATTAAAAAATATACATAAAATAAAACATCCAAAAAAGATGCCCTACCCACTATAACCGCCCTACGTCACAAACGTGGTGGTGTATAGCCATCACCCAAGATGGTGACAGATATAGCATCAGTTTAAACAGTAGGAATCAAACTATCATGTAACTAGTTAAATAGGAAGAAGGTCCTCAAAAGCCTGTCTGAAGAAACATGTTTTAGTTGCTTTCTGAATGCTAAGGAGAGTGGGAGGGCCTGACACATTTCCACTGGTAACAAGTTCCATAGTGAGGTGGCCACCACTGTGAAGGCCTGGTTCCTAAGAGCAGTGTCTACACTGAATTATCAATATCAGAGCCCTGATTTCACATGCCAGAAGTTTCAAGTTAAATCTCAGCCATGTTTAGTTAAAAGGAGCAGGTGGTGAGAGATCTGCCATAGATTCTAGAGTGTCATATGCCCTGACTTGGTAGAAGCTGAAGACCGCTGCTCCTTCTAGACAAGCTGGAACATGTTCAGAGGAGAAAGCCATGGTCATAAATGGTCTGGAAGCCAAGTACTATAAGGAGTTGTTTGCTTGAGTTGGATGTGTTTAATCAAGAGCAGAGATGTAGAGTGGTATGGGAGCCAATACTGAGGCTCCAATACTTCGGCCAATACTTCAAATGAGAA